AGGTCTCTACCAGAGACGTATACGGCGTCTCTACGTCACTCCTCCTCGGTCCAAACATCGTAACTTCAGTTCATTGGTTGCGAAAAGAAACAACATAACGACGATTGTATTCCAAGATGGCGACGGCGAAATTGCCAAACTAAAGGCTTCATAACATCAGTGACAAACCAACGGGTGACGTCACGATGACCACGTCCACTTCTTATACAAAGTCTTTGGTGTGATCCCATCCTAAAATGGTCTCTTTCTGTATTTTAAAGAACCAGCTTCTACACGATGTCCACTCAGGCTTTCATTTCATGTGATAATATTGTAACATTTACCGGAACAGACAGAGGATGGCGCTCCCTGTGGTGAGGGCGATCAAAGACAGACTGTGACCCAGAGTGTACAACGTCTTCACCACCACGTAGAAGACCAGCTGCAGAGACGGAGAGAGTAGAGGAACATGGTCAGACATTATCTTTCAGCAACTTAGCCAGGTGCTCAGTCCTGTGCTCCGTAGAAACTACTGGTCTCATATGATGAATAATAATCATTTTGGTGAACCCTTTTCTATTTATATTACGCCACTATTGATCAAATGTTGCTCTTCCACCTGAGGACAAACAACTTCTAAAGGGCAGATGCAGTAAAATGAGCACATTCCTGGTCCCCAGAGGATAAACCCTTTACATTTGTTATGCTTTATGAGGTCAGGACAGCACTTAACGAAACAAACTAAACGGACAGAGAGACAGACGGACGGACGGACGGACAGAGAGACAGACGGACGGACAGATGGACGGACAGAGAGACAGACGGACGGACAGATGGATAGATAAAAAGCAAGGAAGCTAGTGTTATGAAAATATAAGATCTTAAAGGATTGTTAAATCAGAATTTTAAGCAATGTAACATGATTAAAATGATGCCGGTCTGGCAATATTTACAGAATTCACTGCCAGTGAAGCTCAGTGATTTGGGCTGAGCTGAATTGAGAGGGGGAGGTAGTAACACGGGGGGGGAGAGAGAGAGAGAGAGAGCGAGAGAGAGAGAGAGAGAGAGAGAGAGAGAGAGAGAGGCAGGACAGCACAATGGGCAATACAGCGAAGCCATTCGTGACACAAAACGAGCCAAACGAGCAAAGTGAACAGGAGGAAGCTGCTGACAGGAGGTTTAATTTCAGAATTGAGATGTTTTCCATGTGAAGACAAAGACACAAAAATGCTGAAGCACTTTCTCCAGAAAAACAGACGAATCGGGACATGATGACACAAACATATTTGATGAAAAATTTGATAATTTTCAAAAGAAAAATCATGTTTTTTTTACCATCATACTTTCTTCTACAAGAATAATCGTTTCAAAAAGATCTGCAAAATCTTTTGAGGCAGCTCACAAAGCAAAGAGGGATTGTGAAATGTCTCATCACCAATTAACCAGGTCAGATTCCTTTTACTCAGGTAATAAAAGCTGATTCAGACAATAAAGGCTTTAAGGCTAAAGTCTTAAACAATGAGACAAAAATAACAAATTCCTGCCAGAAAATAAGTCGGCAAAATGTTGTCTAAAATACTTAAGTTGTTCAAGTTTGCTTGAACTTAAAGATGCACCAAGAAAAACTAAAAACTTAGGACAGAAAACTCTTTTTAGTGACATATCTGATGAGATGAATGTACAGGCAGACTAATTGTTTTGTGTTCAACAGGAAGAAAATACAGAAGATTTATATGAAAAAATACCAGCCTAAATTCATAAAATATTTCACCCAAAAGACACCGATCTGAGAGAAAATCTGATTTCATATAATTAACCAGAAAGCAACGTATTTCCATCCTGATTCCTTCATCATTGTGATTACACTTTTAGAACTCTGGCTGTCAACACGTCACTGACTGATTCGATTTCCTGATTTCATTTGAAGTCTTCGGTTGTTCTTCTCTTCCGTTTGGGACGATGTGAAGGAAAGTGCTCCGGAGGTTTGGAACTGAAGCAGGATTCAGATTTTGTTCTGTTTCTGGAACGTTCCTTTAGACTTCACCAGGACATAAAATAATCTATCACTTGTGTTTCAACATGGTTGTGATGCGATACGCTGTGCAGCAGATCAGAACACGCTCATTGTTGGAGGAAGAAGAGAAAGTGTTTTGCTATTGAGAAAAATTCCTGGCATGAAAAACCGAAGAACATATAATTTCCTGTTTGAAACGGAAACTGAGATTGAAATCTGCCAACAAATGGCGTGTGTGTGTGCGTGTGTGTGTGTGTGTGTGTGTGTGTGTCTGTGTGTGTGTGTCCTGTTATCTTGCTTCCTCAGAAAAAGGTGTTTTGTGTTTGAGTTCCTATTTCTCTCATGAGAAAATCAAAGCGTGTTGGTTTGATGAGAAGCAAAAACAAGTCTGACATCAAATACACATTTAGTTTAGTTGGACAGATCCAATCTTGTGTGTGTGTGTGTGTGTGTGTGTGTGTGTGTGTGAGAGAGATAGGGGGAAATGCCCCATCCTATCATTCTCCATCCCTCTTCAGCTGACACACACTTCACCTAGTCTGAGCACATCTCGGCTCAAAATGTGTATTTATTGGACATTTATTGGAAATATCGCATTTTGCTCTCATGTCTGAATAAGTTCACTCTAATATAAAAGTCCTGACAGCGATCTGACTACAGTGAGTCGCACCTGTAGCGTTTCTTTAACACAAGATGGAGCACCAGGTTAGTCAGTATGCAGAGAGAAAGAGAGATTAAATGCACATCATGTTCTGCCTTCTGAGACCACTGAGATAAATGGATCACTGAACCTAGAAAGGTGCACTCAGTGGAGTCCAGATCTCCGCCAGGTGTGTCTGCAACAACCACTGCTGTATTGTGTGATTGAATGAATGCAACCTGCAACTGGCTAACCTCCCGTCTAGACACTAATGGGTTGCAAGTCATCGTAAAACACCCCACTTCATTCAAACTCAAAAACAAGCAGTGACGTGTGCAACGGCTCAAAGTCTTCGTATAAGACTTGTTCGTACAATCTTTCCTAAGGGGGGGACGAGGATTATTGTTCAGGATGTTTTGGATGAATTGCATAGAGACGGATGAGAGACGAGGAGACGTGGGAGAGACGGGGAGACAGTCAGTTTAACAAGCACAATGGGGGATTCAGAATAAGAGCAGTCGTGACCCAAACTGACCCTGGGCAGTGAAAGAGGAGGCGAGCAGCAATTATCACCGTCCAGGACAAACGAGGCCAAACATTCTCCTCACCGAAATACTTTCTCCTGCTTCCCCCTGAAACTGTTCAGGCTGGAGGAGGAATCGCAGCAAACGGGACAAAACTTCACGTATTATACTTGTGATTATCCTGAGCATGGTTCAAAAACAACATGGCGACGGCCGTATTCCAAGATGGCGACGGCGAAATTGGCGGACATGAGCTTTCAGAACATCAGTCCACAAACCAATGGGTGACGTCACGACGACTACGTCCACTTCTTATAAACAGTCTATGAATAAAACACACTGTGAAGCCACTGAGCCAAGCTGCAGCCGGTCAGAAACCATTTTTTGTCAAATTCCATTTCTCAGTAATTTAGGAAAATATAGCAATTATACAAATGTTACTTTTTTCTTTAAATCTATGGTTAAGTGACATTGTAAATATAAGGTGTTCAAATTTAGACTGCAATTTAAACGATCCTTATTTTAAATGTAAATGCCTGCTATTATAAATACATCCTGGGACTCACAGAATTACACTTTTGTAAAAACCAAATTGCTCCCAATGACGACAGTCAGGGGGAGCTGCTCACATCTAAACATGCATCACACTGCTGTTGACCTTTTAAAGATCCCCGTGTTAATTAACAGACGACCCCTGCAGGCTTCATCAATTACAGGCCGCTAATGGGCCACGTTATGTTGCAGCTGTTCCTGCTGCGCACTCGCAGACTGTTAGTGTTCAGGTGACATTTACAGCAAGGACAGACGGAGAAGAAGACAACGTGAAGACGGTGACGGCACCTTGTCCTGGATGGTGTCCGAGCCACAAGCGCTGGTGATGTTCGGGAAAACGTCCGACCATCCCGCTGACGTGCAGTTCCTGCTGATGTTACCTGCGAGAGACGAAGAGAGATGGTAGCGAATTATCTTCAAACCCCCCCCCCCCCCCAAAAAAACCCACCAACTTAGAATTTGTAAAGTCTTCCTCCACTTGTGTTATCACACAAGGAGCACAGAGGAAGAAATAACAGGTTTGGATATGTATCAAAAACAAGTGTTTTCAACCTTTTTTTTACATTTGGTAGCATCAGATGTGTGTTGTTATGTTATAGATCTACTGTGTATGCTGTTTATGTGTCAGCATGGGGAAGTTTGCCCGGTTGTTGGTTTTTTTCCTTCTTTAAAAGGACTTGCTTGTAGGATTTAGCGGCATCTTGCAACTGAATACCGCTTTTCTTGGCTCTGTGTAGCGTTCAAACCACAGTCTGTATATAAGAAGTGGACGTAGTCATCGTGAGGTCATCCATTTGTTTGTGGACTGATGTAATGAAGCCTTGAGTTTGGAGATTTCACCGTCGCCTTCTTGGATTACAGCCGTCGGAGGTGACCATATTCAGAATGCGGAGGAATGACGTAGAGATGTCGTTTACGTCTGTCGTTTACGTCTGTCAATCACAGTAAGCCCCGCCTTAAAGCACACCCTGCTTTATGGTCTGTTTGACTCTAAATGGACCATAATGTACTAAATGAACATCATGCTGTGTTGAAGAAGACTTGAAACTAGAGATTGAGACCATAAACTCATGTTTACAATGTTTACTGAGGTAATAAATCAAGAGAGAAGTAGAGTCATTTTCTCATAGACTTCTATACAACCAGAGGAGTCGCCCCCTGGTGGACACTAGAGAGAATGCAGGTTTTATTTTGGCATCGGCGTCACTCGTCAGAACCGGAGATTGCCACCTGATTCTGACTCTTAAGAAAGCAGCGTGATGTGTAACTGAAAACACTTCATGGTGAAGTGAAGCGTCACTCTGTCTGTGTTTCAAATGAACTCAACGTCCAGTCTGCATTGAACTCCTGAGGGACATCCTCCGGGTGTCCCGATGCCAAAATTGCTGGGGTGCACTGGAAGTTCATCTCTCTTGGAAATTTCCAGAATGCACTGTAAAAAAATAACAGAGCATCCTCTTGCTCACTGACCTGAAATAACGTCGCCACACTTCTGCCTCGCTACACTGTTAACGAACCCTCCTCACAGCCGGGAGACCGCAGAGGAAGCTACAAGAGTTTTTTAATGGATCAACTTTGCTTATGAATCTACATTTTGAACTTCAATGGTTTGTGTAATACTTTCTTTCTACAGCACAAAGAGGGACAAACTGTGCCCGTTGTGGATTCTGGAAGCATTTTGCAATACTGTAAATTCATATTTTTCTTTTAATGATGAAAGGACATCAATGTTCCTAAACATAGCAGCATGGCAATTAAACAATTGTCAGTTTATATTATGGCCATCAGGTTTAATAAGTCCTTTGTTTTATTATTAATTTATAGATTCCAATTTTAGATCAAAACCGACAACCAGTCAAGTTGCAGTTTACATCCATGCTTGTCCAAAATGTCTCTCACAACCCCTCAGATGTATTTTGCGACCCACTGGACGGGTGATGCCTCTGGACTATAACTGGATAAAATAAGACAACTGTAAAAAGCGGCGTACAGATTGCTGCATCGGGATTAACAATCTAATCTAAAACAATAAATCAACCACAGGGTCCAGCTCCACAATGATAGATATATTGAGTGCGTTCGGCTTCATAAATCTGACAATGAGAATGTGTTTCTGTCTTTTTTGGTTGTAAATGGATTCCAGCCAATGTTCATCTTATATAAACTTTTCTTTATTACTTCATTGCAGAAACTTTCTGGGTTTTGGATCCGTCTCTGCCGGGGAGCATCTGAGTGAGCGTTTGGCTCTGAACAAGCCGCTGGGCTCTTACATAATGTTTAGTCATCAATCAAGAGCACGGCCTCGGAGCGGAGATCCAAGCTGCCATCTGGTCACTGGCTGGGTAAAAAAATAAAGATCCACACAGAACTGTGGGACGAAACGAGGGCAGAGAGCCTCCTCGGTTTAGATACTCAACCCTCATGACATCACATTCTTTGAGTTTGGAAACAGCTGAATGAATGAGGACCATGTGATGTGATCGAAAGCTGCAGGGCAGCAGCGAAATGGACTTCGTGGTGAGACTTTATGAGGAGGAATGAACTTTCTTTTCTTCTGTGAAGCAACACTGTAGTTTTTATTCATGCCTGATGTTACAGTACGCCCAATAATCCAGGTGTTGGATGAGCCGTTTAAAAGGCAAACGCACACACATCAATGACGACACACGATCCACCAGTTTAAATCTACATTTCAGTTCAGCATTGATTCTGCTCTTTAATCATCTCCCTGTTTTTAAAATTGAATACGAAATAAATAAATCCATAAATGAATGTGAATAAGTGAATAAGTGACCCACCGTTTCTGCCGAATACAGTCGTGAGGACTCGGGGACAGGCGATGGTGACGGTCTCTCCAATCTCGGTTTGCTCCCAGCATGCAATGCTGTCCCACGTTCCTTTGCATCCCGGCTCTGTCGGAAAAAAAAACGGAAAACCGGCTCAATGAGATTGAAATCACTCTCATCAAGTAAAACACAGTGTTACGGGTCTTCACTGTGTTGCCGGTCGAAACAAACACGATGATGGGGCGGTGATTATTCATCCTGCCGAGTGTGCTCTTTGTTTTACCGAACATCCAACATGTAGCTGCTGGTTGAAGAGAAACATTTGGCATTTTTACATGTTCTTGTACACAGACGTGCAGGCTTGTGCACATTTAAATACAAACAGGAGGCTGATCTTGGGTTGCAAAGGCTCCGTATATTTGTGGAAAATTTTCGTTTTTGTTGGTAAATTCAATTTGCAAATAAGTTGCACATAAAGGACATTTTTGGGAGACTTCTGCGGTTGGATGTGTGTTCAGAAACCCCTAAATATTACAGCACAAATTCAGATTCTATTCACATCTGTTCAAACCCAAATAACGTATTTGTATTCAGTGTATTGTATTCACATCCCTTTAAGAGACCTGGACAAAAACTGCAGCATAACATATTTGGAAAACTCAAACAGCTCATTAAAGCAATTACATACAGCACATTAAAAGAAGAAGTTATATCCTATTTCAAACGATTACACTCCTCATTAAGCATTATGGATTTGTCACATCCTTTCCTTAAATCGCACAGAGACATACATATGTAGAGGATCTAGGCGCTATCAGTGCAGAATACAGGGGAGGAGTGGCCCCGAATGAATACAAAAAAAACCCTCACCCGCCCCCTGGTGACAAAAACAAACAAACCCAAAATAGATCTTGCAGCTCTTAATGGGTGCAAAAGTGCTGATGGCAAACTGAACAGTCAACAGGGCTTTTTAGCGATAGACGAGTGGAGACGGTGCGGATGGTGAAACGTAGCCCTCGTCTACAACATCATCAGCATCTCCTCTCGTGGTTTTCTGTTCAGGTTTTTGCACAGGGCTGCATCTACATGTTTATTTTTAGAAAAAAGTCCAAAAGGTTTGTAATGCTCGACACATATCGTGTATAAATGGACAGAAACAAGTGTTCCAGGATGAAGAACAGTGTGCGGAATACTGAAAGCCTCAATGGCTAAAATCAAACAAATATTTGTCACTAAATTGTCACTAAAAAGTATTTTTAAAACATACTAATGCCCAGCAGTTTTCATAATTCAAACTGCAAAACATTTATTTACAAATATGAATAGTGAGAACGAGAGACGATGTAAATGTCAGAGCCAGAAACACAACCATCACATATTTCTTTACTTCCTGGTGAATCTACACCATAAAGACTCAGCTGCTATCACTTCCAGCTTTGATGATGAACCAAGGTCCAAAGCCTTTGTATCTGACTTCATCAGTTGATTTATGGACACTCGTACCTCGACAGTACACCATGTAACTTTCGATAATGGTAGCTCCATTTACTACGTCACTTCCTCTGTCTGAATACAAAAATATTCCACGTATCCCTGGTTTGCAGGGACGTACAATACATTTGTTTTCATGGAAAACTGTAATTATTTTTCTTACTTTCCCCTTTATTCCATCATCTCCATTTCTTTCTTTCTGCCCTTCATTCTGTCTTTCTCCCTTTATTGTTCCTCTCTCCTCGCATCCTTACTTTCCTTTTCCCTTCCTTCTTTTTCTACTTTGCTTCCTTTCTTCTGTTTTTTCTTCATCATTTCCTTCTTTCTTTCCTTCTTTCCTTCATTACTTGATGTCTGTATTACGTCTTTTTCTTCCTTCCTTTCTTCTTTTGTACCTCAATGTCAGAAATGCAAGAGGCAAAGGACAGAAGCTGTCTGGTTGGAATTGCTCTGACCTTTGACCTCCTTTAAACTCTCTCCTATTGTGTTTGTAATGTGGGATGCTGCCTGTAAATGGCCTGAACCAACGCTGACTAGAAAAGTGAGTGAAGGTGCAAAAGAAAGAGAGGAAATGGCACCGAGAGGGTAAGAGAGGACAAAAAAAGAGCAAGAGGGGACAGATGTCTTTGGGGTAAAACATCCAAACTCACCAAATTTCCAGTCGGCTAAAGAAACTGACTCTATTTTAAATGTTACAACCACAAACTGTTAAACTACTGTTTGCAACCAAATTAATGAAACAACTGCTGTCCCCAGAACCTTTTCACCCGCAGACAATTTGAACCACGTTATTATTATTTTGTGTGCTGAGATTCCCCCTCACAGAAACGTACCCTCACCCGTATCTTCGCTCTTTAACACCGAGCCGGCTGCAGCCTCTTAAAGACGGCGCCTCAGTGTGTCGTCTTCTTCTCTTCCATTTAAAAATAGTTTATACATTATTGTTTATACTTCATCCTGTTTGCACTGGGTGCACTGAAGCTTCGCCTGCACATCTTGTCAGTAAAGCTCCGCTCTGCAACATTAAAATATGCATTTTTGAAGACCAAACAAAACCCATCCAGGGCTGCGACCATATCTGACTACATGTGGAAGAAGTAGTGTTATGTTTTAGTGCTTCGACTCAACAGGCTGTGTGTAATATATGAGTTTATATTCACATAAACAAATGCTGACACGCTGTATTTTTTAAGAAGTCACATAAATAATTATCTCCCAACCAGAGTTTAACCTTCAACAGCTGACAATAAATAAGTGAAATAATACGGTGAAGGATGCATATCACAGTCGATTTATACAATACAGAAAGTAACTAATAAACTCTACTTGTGCTCAGTGTTTTGTGTGTTAAGATCCGGTTCAGCTCCACACAGTTTCTCAAGTTGTGTCTGTGTTCGTAGAGGAGGTGGCGTTTAGTTTGACCCTAGTTTAGTGGATGATTGTGACCTTTATGGCTGCCAGCAGCGTCCTCCTCCCTCAGCCTCCTCACACACTCCGCCTGGTCTCTCTCCACCTCCAACAGGAAGTTACAGGTTGGATGTCGCCCGTGAACCTGTGGTGGAAGAAGTCAAATATTATTATTATTATTATTATATTTATTTAAGGGGTGACGATCTCCTGACAGACACATTGTTAGCAGTGAGTATTTGCCGTCCATTTCAAGAACTCACTCAGCCTTTAAGATGAGGAAACACGTATTCAATCTAAAATATAGTTATCATTAATATTAATAATATTGCTAAGACCACCATATGACCTGGAACTGAGATGCTTTTACTAAACCTCATCAATGCTAACATGCAAAGTGAGCAAACTTAAAAAAGGTTTAAGGGGAATTCTCAAGACTTTTGCTGAAGCTTGGAGCAAATCCAGCAAGTGTTATAAAAGTAAACAGGCCGTAGAACAAAGAGTCTTAATCAGACAATCAACTAAACAACAAACAGCAATACTCAGACCACCGGGACAATGTGCCAAAAAACAGCTGCAATCAACAACATTGATTCAGTTAAGTTAATACTCAATGTCTATTTAAAAATGTACTCTTTCTACAGATGTATATGTTCCTCCATATTTTGTATTATCGTTGAAGGAGAGAAGAAGCTGATGCACAGGAAGGGAAACTAAGGTTATGATTGACAGATGAATTCACGGTCGAGATAAGCTGCTTAAACTAACCAGCCAACGCTCAGGATCTCTCTTTCTTTTATGTGTGTGGGTGTGTGTTGAAAACCAGGAGACGCAGATTAACTAATGTGTGAGTGACTTAAATCCTGCAGTGGAAAAACAGAGACTCTGCAAAAACAATACTGGACAAACAGCAAACCATCCTCCACATATTTTAATATCATCATCAAAAAACCAAAATCAAGAATCCTGAATGTGAGGAACGAGCTCACATTTCCTGTCAAACCAAATCAAACGAGCTGAACGCAGCTCACACTGAATCTGAGCGTGTTTTATATCACGCAGCAGAATATTGTGAAATTCACCAGGCAAGATGACTAAAAACCATCCATCCATCCATCTATTTTCCTCCGCTTATCCGGGGTCGGGTCACGGTGGCAACAGGCCAAGCAGGCTGACCCAGACCTCCCTCTCACCGGCATGTTCCAGCTCATTCTGGGGGATCCCGAGGCGTTCCCAGGCCAGCTGGGAGATGTAATCCCTCCAGCGTGTTCTGGGTCTTCCCCGGGGTCTCTTCCCAGTTGGACGTGCCTGGAAAACCTCCAGTGGGAGGCGTCCAGGAGGCATCCTAATTAGATGCCCGAACCACCTCAGCTGACTCCTTTCGACGCGAAGGAGTAAAACCAACACTTCTATTTATTGCAGCGGCCTGGAGATATGAACACACACACACACACACACACACACACACACACACACACACACACACAC